CGTCCAGATTCAGCCACTTTTAAATTGCCTCGTGGATGTGTCCTTCCAGTCCGGCCAAAGTGCAAATTGTACTAAAATTCAGATCCTAAACTGTGCCGTATGAGAAGAAAAAGAAAGACTGTGGGGGCCGCGCTAATGCGCTAGCAACAAAGCGGCAATAGAGGCGGTGGCGGCTGAGTAGGTTGCAACCTCTGAGTATGTCGATGCTTTTTTCTCACGAGGCGCCTACCCTGCCAAGCACCATAGCTGTGTGAGAGCCATGGCGATAGTGCCCTGGCGTAGCCTAGCCCTTGAGTGGGTTCGGGAGTGCCTTTGCACTCGTACGTCAAGGCATCTTGGCAGCCCTGTATCCGACCTTCATACCAACTTAAATACCTAACAGGATCTTAACATCAGAGGAGATGTCCTCCCCTCAATCATTTAGCTGGCAGGGGGGCTCCTTTCTCACCATCTAATGGCCGCGTGGCGTGGCCCGGCGACCGAGGGAGCTCTGCGTCGTCCTAGCGATGTCACCGAGAGTAGTGGGAGGCACTGGGAGCAACTTTTGGTGACAGTGGGAGCACTGGCGATGACACCACGACATCTAAATGTCTCTGGATTCGTCTTTTAAAAGGGAAGCCATCATGGCCAACATCAAGATGAACTACGGGCAATACCAAGAACAACCATCATGGGCTAACGACATAATCTATAGAAGAAGCTGCTTGCTAATTGGTATTATGATAGGATAGATGGGCTTAATTTCAATTTTGACTCTTTTGCTCGTATTTTAGGGTACAATTGTTCCCTGGTATAAGTCATTGTTGTCTAAAATTTTAGCTCTTCTGCTTTGAACAACGAACCTGGTTGTCTCTGTGGCCATATTCAGTTACAAAGTCTAGAGCATACTCTTCGTTTTCCAGCTGTTTTCTAGGCTAGTCTGTCGTATTTTAGTGCATTGCATTTATTGATCGCTTACTTCTCTTGATTTCCTTGAGAAGTTAAATTGTTACGGTCTCTGACTTCTCTTGATTTCCTTGAGAAGTTGAATTGTTACTGTCTCTGTTCTGACGCATTGATTGCTCTTAGTGTTTCGTTTTTAGAAACACGTATTGCTGCAGCAGCTTAGGATTAAGAGAGAGGGATAATCTATCTTTCGGAAGTCGGGTTGGTCCCCTACTTCTTGCGACGGGTTGGTCCACTACTTCTTGCTATCAGACATTATCTGCGATGCATGGGAGTAAACCTGTGATTTCTTCTCCTAGTCTGTTTTAGGTCTTTTTGCCTTTGGCAAGTTGGTTTTCTTTGTAGTCATTATAAGAGTAGTTAGCACAAAGGAGCAGTGGGAACACTAATGGTTGGACGATATTAGAGACCCGGTGAGGAGCAAACTAGAGTTGTATCCATTGGGTGTGTGGCGGAAAACCGTCTAGGCAACAAATGCTCTTTACAGTGTTTTGGACGGTAATGATGAGAGGGTAACCAGTCTGCTTATTCTTCCTCCCCAGCTCCCGGTCCTTGGTTTCTAAAGAGTAGATTTATTGGTCCGGTTTGTTGGGGAGTCGCATTTTAAGTGTTGTAGTCTGTGGGGTGGATAAAGTATTTGGAAAACATAATGTAGGTCTTCCACTTAGCAAGAATATGAACTGTGATGTGACATTTTGATTACTGACAGCGGCACTACCGGGCCAGTGTGAGTGCCATCGTCAGTGCTGGGAGTGTTAGTCGATTGTAGAATTTGTAGTCATTATAAGAGTAGTTAGCATGAAGGAGCAGTACAAACGCTAATGGTTGGACGATATGAGAGACCCGGTGAAGAGCAAACTAGAGTTGTATCCATTGGGTGCGTGGTGGGAAACCTGTCTAGGCAACAAAGGCTCTTTACAGTGTAACAGTTTTGGACAGTGATGATGAGAGGGTAATTCTACAGCTTATTCTTCTTGGCAAGGCCCAACTCCCGGTCATAGAGCCTATAGGCTATAGGTAGTTTTAGTTTCTAAAGGCGAAGCCATGTACTTGGATCCTGGGGGAAAGTAACATTGCCATTTTGGAAACTGAGCATGGTTCTATAGTAGTTTAATATCGATGAGCGACACTGCACTGATCTGCTACTTGGCACAGACTGACATTACTTTGAGCTTCAAGGGATTTTGGAAGATGAGGATAGACCAGTGAAAGGAAGGGACGCCGGACCCGTTTTCCAGCAACAGCCCAATTAGGGTTATTGGTCATATCGTCGGGTTGTTTGTGAGGAATTCCCGGCCTCCTTTTTTTCATTTGTAATAAGAGCTAATGATTCTTCCAAAAAAAAGAAAAAAAGGAAAAAAGACTGTGCCCTATTCGACTTTTTGCAACGTTATTATATTATAGTAAAGAGAAAACTAGGGCGGGGTCAGGGTTAGAGTTTGAAAATACGTTTCCAACTGCCGTTTTGGAGTCCAGTCCCCTCTAAAGTTTACACTGCAGTCCAAACTCCTCCGTACCGTGGCTGTCGCAGGGCAGAGTTTGTAACTGCAATCTAGTCATCCACGTCGGAGGGCCAGGCCTTTTTCCCAAAAAAAAAAAGAAGAAACAAGAAGAAAAAAAGAAAAGCTCGTGGCGCTGTATCTTTCCATGATCTAGCCGAAGATTCACTCTCAGTTTCCACGATCGAAATGTGCAAAAAGAGAGTGAATCTTGGCTAGAACATGGAAAGATACACCGCAATGATTTTTTTTTTTTGTGTGCAACGGGGATACAGGGGCCCAACGAGATACAGGGGCTGACAACAACGCAGAGGCCCTAGAGGATACACGTGCTGAAAACAACACAGTTTCTTTTCTTTTTTCTTTTCTTTTTTGTTTTTCCTTCTCAGATTTCCCTACCTATGCGTGTCATCCTTGCAGCCTCGTGGCGTTGCATCTTTCCATGTTCTAGCGGAAGATTCACTCTCGTTTTGCACTTTTTTTTTTTTTAACATCTCAGCACCTTCGCGTGGCTGGCCACTGCCGCTATGCCTTGGCCACATCCGAGGTAAAAAAGAAAAAAAAAGAAAAAAAAAGAAAGAAAGAAAGATAGAGAGCATCTCGTCGCGTGGCTGGGCCACGGCCTCGGCCACAGCCGAGATATTAAAAAAAAACAAACAAAAAAAACAAAAAAAAAAAAAACAAAAAAAAAAGAAGAAAAAAAAGCCACATGCCGGTTGTGCATGTCGAGAGTTTCGACTGCAGTTGAAACTTGGGATCGTACTGGAGTCCAAACAGGCAGTTTGAAATGCATTAACAAACTGCTTTGGTGACTGCGCCCTAGTTACCCCTATAATAAATTTAACCAAAACATTCAAAAAAAAAGCCCGAGTGACTGAATGGTACAGAGCGTTACCTATGGAAACAGATCATGAGCTCGAACAGTGTGAGACGGTATCGTATGAGCAGAATAATACTAGGAGCCTACGGCTACCCGGTTTGCGGGAAGGGCAAAAAGAAAAGAAAATACATAAAAGAAATTACACTTTAAAATGCAGTTCCAGTAAAAAGATCCAGCTTTCCCCGAATACCACCACTCCTCCCTGATACACTAGGTTTCATATCTTCCAGAAGCAGTGACGACGGTCGCTGGTGAGGCAAAACCATAACTGTAACCCCAACCTAGGGTGTCATCCAACTATTGATTATAAAAATAAACAAAGCGTTAGGAATTCAACCATCTCTCTCCCTCCATTTCTCACGCTGGCTTATCTTGCTCCCTATCCACGCCACCATTCCACTTTGTCGTTTACTATTTTCCTTCTTCTTCTTCTTCTTCTTCTTCTTTCTCTTCCTCCTCCTCCTCCTCCTCCTCTTCCTCCTCCTCCTCCTCCTCGTTGTCGTTCTTGCTCTCTCTTCCTTCCTCTGTTCCACTTCCGCATTTCCTTCTTCTTCTTCATCTTCTTCCTCGTCGTCGTCGTCGCCATCGACTCGTCCCTTATTCCTTTCTAAGCGTCCTCGCTCATGTCATGGTTATGAGTTGATGTGGTTTAATATAAAAATAGTTAAGATGCCGTTATTTCTATTCTCAGCCAAGTGTTGTGCGCTCCAGAATTTGTCAAATTTAAATCACTGCAGTACTTCCTAAAGTTGTGACCTTTAACAAGCCACAAGTTCAGGAAACGTACGGGCCACTATAGGAGCGCCCACATTCATCCGACTAGAAAAAATTTCAACTCTTTTTTTCCCCACGGCCGATAGCTGGACCAAGTACTCGTGGTTTAACTAGCCAGACAAGCGGAACATCGTGCAGATGCTTTCTTTTTATTTTTTATTTTTGTGAACTGCATATTACTAGTATTCTGGCACAAGGCTAGAGGCTACGAACAAAAAGCGGAAAATGAACCTAGAAATTCTCCTAGAGACTAGAAGGCTTGAACAGAAGGAAAAAAAAAACAAAAAAAAAAAACACGTTTGTTCTCCATCGACAATGAGTACATATGTCCTCTCTTCGGGCGCATTCCTGTATGGGAAGCTCGGTTGCCTTGTAGGCCAACGTCTCCCTCCCCTCTTCCTCTCCATCTGTTACTAGATCCTTTCCATGCTCCTCATCATTTCATTCAATGTACAAGACCCTTCAAATGCGATAACAATTATGCACGCTACTACTCTTCAATCGAATGGAAAAAATACACTTTTCCTGGTTTACCTACCTACAACTCAATCTGGTCCCCCAGGATGTGTCGAATATCGCATACAGTGATTAGTTTTGGATATCTATCGCCTGAAAGTCTCTCTCATGTTTGTTCGTGGGGTTCTTCTACTTCCCTTGTTGATTTCATCTTCTTCTTCTTTCTTTCTCTCTCTCTCTCTCTCTCTCTCTCTCTCTCTCTCTCTCTCTCTCTCT